ATAACCGACTCGAGACGATAGCGGCGACTCTCTGTGGCGGCAGCTGTCGATACAAAATCCGGTTTTCTACCGATTTCGATACACACCTTCGGTCAGATATCCGCGCGGCGATAAGTGGACCATAAAGCCAAGCGCCTGTAATACAATATATTACCGTAATGGTGCGTGCTCGGCAAGAGCGAGATAAAGGACGGTGCCCACGAGCGTTACAGGTGTAAACGGCCCTAAACGAGGTGCGGTTATTAGCGAACACCGCGGGGGGAGTGGGAGAACGAGAAAATAATAATACGAAAGATGGATGAAAGTGAAAGGACAAAAGGGATCCCTCGCGTTGGACGAGATTCGAAGGAAGACAGTGGACGGAAGAGGTGGGGAGAAAGGAAGGGTTGAGGGGAAACCAGGGAGAGAAATCCTCGTCAACGACGGAGCCGAGATAGGCCACACACCGGCGGCTTGTAAAACACGCGGCGAGATTAAATGCTTCATTAATGTGATTAAAGCAAAAAGCTGCGTGAGTAATGAACCGCGCTGAATCATCAGCCGGTCTTGCTCGGTCTTCGGATTGCTTTGTTGCACCTTTGTGCGTTGGTAGTGTTGGATCTTCTATTTGGCATTTCTTATAGTTGTCATTCGAGTTCTCTGTCATGCTTCACGTGAATTAAATATTGGAAAGAATAATGTCGACATTTTTTTTGAATTTAAATTCTTTCTTTCTCTCTAATCTTATCTTTACATTTTATTATTATTTTTTCTGTAAGTTAATCTTGAGAATTATTTATTGCTATCGGATACCGCGTTGAAAATAAAATTACTCTGTTTCAATCATTCTTAATTACTAAAGCAATATTTTAAAAAGCAATTCATAAAAGTTTCTTACTGTCGAACAAATTTGTAATCGTATAATTTTTTTTTTTTTTTTTGAGGGATAGAAAATTCGTGTGATTAATATTTTCTCGGTCACGACACGATGACAATAGAAGCAAGATTCTTTTCATCGTTAAATCCGATTGGACAGATTTCGTAAATACTCCGTCGGTAATTCGACACGGTCAAATCGATTTCACGAAAGAAGTAGGAGGTTCTTTCGAAGCCTGATGGCTTAGAGGAGAGGCGAGTCGAAGGCAAGGGCGAGGCGGTCGGATGCAGATACCGGAATTTTTGTGTCGAGGCCTCGGTCGAGGCGGCTATCTACCCGTTCGGAGGATAAAAGTCGCGGTGTTCACAATTGGTAATGCCGATAGAGCTGCCATCGTCTTGCCATACAAACGTCCTCCCGGCTACATGCGGACCCGGCCTTTCTTCGCTAAACACAACGATTCGTTGTGCATTTCTTCGCCACGCGCATCACAAATGTCCAGGCAGTCACTATATGCGATACTTTGTTTCGATTGCGTGCATCTCTTGAAAATGTCCTCCACTGTTTGAAATTTCTCGAATCCTTCCTTTGTACATTGTTTAAAATGTTTTTTTTTTTCTTTTTCTTTTAGGCATCGTGCTTTTTTTATTCGAATCAATATTCTGGATGGAAAATATATAAGAATAGAGGATTTCAAAAAATCAAGATCGTGGATTTATTTCCATTTTAATAACGAGTAATAAACATAGCAAGATTTGTTGGTAATTAATAATGTTTCTAATTAATATCAAAATTTATGGACGCAGAAGGAACGTGTCGTGCTAGTTAGTTCCTAACATACAATACATACATCGTGTAAATGTCAAATGTCGCGCAACGTATGAAAACTCGCCACTCGCTGCTCCATGATACCTGAGCGCCATGCATATTTTAAAACAGGCGTCACACGCTGCTACACTGAGTCACAAACCATTATAAATTGCATTATTAGGTCATTACCTGACTGCGGTATAGTATAAACATTCACCTCAATCCATCCATCTTTATTTCATAACAAAACTCACTATTAATTACGAAATACATAACTCCTCCCTCCGCGAAATATTATTCTTCGATTAGCAATTATAAAAGACAGCTCCTTCTTCGAAATAAAAATAGAAAAATCAATAACTCTTTCTCTCTCTATATATATATAAATAAAATAAAATAAAATAAAATAATATTGCTTCGTTAAAGAAGAAAGAAAATTAATTAAAGAAAATCAATAATCCCTTCCCGAAAATAAAGTAGAAAGAAGTCGAAAGGATCGGTCAAGAGCGTCGAATGAGTGGCAATGTTCAGAGTGGACAGTTGGCCGTTTCATAAGCCGTCAATTGGCGTTCCTAAAGGCGTCAGTCGTGCGGCAGGCGTGACACTCGATCGGTACACGGCAAACGTCAGGTCGTTACAGCGGCAGATACGAGGATCTTTGACGGGGCGGTCGCACGGGCCGACGTACAAGGTGCCGTGGCTTGACGCAAAGTGCAAGGAGATGCGATCGACGATTATGCACTTACGGTGTTACCGTATATAAACGGGGCCCGTATAAGCCCCGGCGCGGGTATGCATGGCGCACGTATAGCGCGCGGACCAGGCCACGAGAGCAATGTATCTTCCTCCGTGACATTGGGGCCCGCGCTAATCGCGCGACAATCTTCGCCGCGACGAGCGAACTGGCGCGAACCCCGGAGCAGGAGGATGGAGAACGACACCGACTTAAGGCGGTGCACAACTACTACGGAGAGTTTATGGAGAAATTGGGATTAACGCCTAGGAAATTGGACCTAACCTAACCTGACTAGAGGTCGCTAGTGCTTTGAAAGTAATCAAGAGTGTGCCATTTTTGTGTTTCTTTTGAAGGTATTCTACCAGTAATTTAATTAACATATCTGTGTGTATATTTTTCTTGTGTAATATTTAAAGATTAACGTTAAAGAAGTTAAAGATATAGATTAAACTTCCAGAATTTGAAATGATATTATGATGTATTTTGCTCCTCAAAATGAGGCAAAATTTTTCAGTTAAATAATAACCTGTAAATGACAAGTTTAAAATGACGATTGTATCTATTCTTATATCGAAAGAGAAAGAGGAAGGGTGATGAAGAGGAACGTGGTGACGTGTGAAAAATGTGACCCGATTGTATCTTCGTGTTCATCGATTGTATCGTTCTATTGCTTCGATATATTGTAATAAATTGACGAAGAGATGATTGCCTATCCCCGAATCACGGTTCTTTGGACTTTGTTACCTTCGTGACGATAATTTACGAGATTAATTCATTACAATTATCAGCAGTGAAACATGGATATCGTGTGTTTATTATTTACAAGGCGTCCAATTAAGGATGTACAATTTCCAACGAACTGAAAATTTCACTTTTACCCTACTTTCATTGTCGTATAAGTGTTCCTTCTCTCGAATTCACGTAGTAATTTTTAGCTTGCAGATCGTGAAAGTTCCTCCTCCTTGAATAACAAAGGCGGAAACGCGGCCATCGTGCTTCTCGAAACAATGGATGTTCCTGGAATATTTTGTAACACTCGAAACGATGATTTGATTCTGAAAGGATTAATAATCCTTAATTTCGAAACGTGCTCCGTAAACCAACCGGAAAGCTTTCGCTTCTTAGAAAATGAGAACGTTTCTCTTTCCGGCGGATGGATGATGAGAGTACAAGTGAATAAGATCGCAGAAATATCACATAATATTTTTCAAACTTTATACGTATTTTTAACACAATTATATATATATATATCATAAACTTATCAATGCCAAATTTCATTAAAAATAGGAAAATGATACTTGTGAGGAAAGGGTGTATCCGGTCGAGCAAGTGCCGCTTAAATTGTGGAAGACGAAGTAAAAGAAGAAAAAGAAGAAGGATGCCAGAAGACAGTGAAAAAAGAAGTAGTGGAAACATTGTGAGAGAGGAGATAATCGCGTGTGCGAATCGGAAAAAGGAACACAAGGTTGTAAAGCTGGAAAGAGGAAGGAAGAATAACAGAAGAGAAACGAGAAGAAGAAGAAAAAGGAGGAGGAAAGAAAGTCCGACGCGAGACTAAACTGTTCGCGGCCCATGATATCTCTTCGAGCAAAGGACAATCGTATAATTAGATGTCCTGGCGAAGCCTACACAATATCCAGAGGGAAGATACATTGGCGGCAGGTTAGGCATATTCCAAGGGAGAGTAGATAGAAGCGATCTCGAGAGGCTATATCGTCCGGCAATCGGTGTGTTCAGGAGAGTAATCGATGCTGGAATGCGGGTAGGAATGCTCGAACTGGCCGACGAACGGGATCACCCGGATGCTGGCGTTTGTCTTCAACCGAACACTTAAAAATGCCGCTTTTTGGCTTGGCCACGCGACCACCTCCGGTTCCGTTTAAACTGTAATCGTTCTTTCTATTTCGATTGTGTTTAATTCTTTAACGGATATAATTAAAATAAGAAATAATTTTTAGAAAATAATTATTCCTTTTTAAAAGCTATAGTTTTAGGCGTTAGAAAGTATATTATACATTGTAGTTTTTTGTTACGAAGATAAATTTTAATATGAGGTTGGTATAGTTATAATTGTCCTTAATAATTAGCTAGAATCTCTCTTGTGCGTCGCGTATAAACTAGAATGTATCGGTATACTGGATAGAGAATCTTGTTCGATAGAGGATGAAAGGTCGGCCGAGTGGCCGCGTGTACACGGCTCTGCGGAGAAATTGAATATTCACGTTGCGTGCGGAGGGCGCAGCCTTAGAGAGTAGCGAGTCGTCTGAAAATATCGTAGTTCGCGACCATTTAGATCGTGTATTCCCTCTAATTTTTATGCCCGTCGATAAAGATCTTCCACACGATTTCCTCCTGGAAAAAATAGCATAAAAAGAAACTAGACATCATTATAAATCAGATATTCTTAAATCAGAAACAATACAGTTTGGATTAACAGAAGAATCGATCAAAATTCTTCGAATGAAGAACAACGAGTTTGAATTTATCCTATAGCGTGTATCGAAAGTATTAAATACTCACTTTGAGAACGCGAGCAATACGAATTTCTAATCTTATCATTCTATCTTTGTCAATAAGAATAATGATAGAGAATAATGTCTAGCGAAAAATGAAGAATTGAGAATTGAAACGTTTACAACGTGTTACTTGCTTCACAGGTTCCAAAGGTGATCCTCGAGTAGTGAGGATGATTTCTAACGCGAGAAGACCTCGAGCATATAACGAATAAATACTGTAATTACCGGCGTACAAATATATTTATATACAGTGGATAGCACGCGTGTCAACGATACGGGCGATTACCACGGTTGTATTAATTCCGATAAAAAATTGCGGAAGCCAGCAGCTGCGGTGGCGCTCTCTATCGAGAACAGAACTGGTCAGATACGGATCTATCGAACGCGCCTATGCCGCTATGCGGAGCGCACGCAGCGAAGCAGACCCGTAATTTATTTGCTGGCGGCCGCCTACCTTCCAACTTCAATATAATCATTATAATTATTGTCTCCCCTTCAAATCGAGGTTCGATAATCATCGCCTGTGTATTTGTTACACGGCTCGCATTAACGGGCAGCGTACAAAGCGGGGGCACCCCGTTTCTTCGAACCACGAATCCGTCCTTCTGTTTCACCGTTTCCATTGTTCTATGCCCGGTTCGTGTTGCTTCTGCGTGGCGGCGGGACACGAAACTCTACCGTGGAGGGTAAGCATGGCGGTCTGGTGTGATTGTTCCTCTTTTTTCTTTTCAACCTTTTTCTTCCTTCCACTTTTTCTCGCGGAAAGAATTGTTAGAACGTAAGAACGAGATTTGGAGGATTCGTAGGTGGACGGAAAATAATGAATCACGCGAAGTCCGTTTTGTAAACTTGGAATATGAACACGCGGCTGTATAAGCGAACGTTCTTCTGTCTGCTCTTCCAAATGTTTTTCTTCGAAAGGAATTTATTAGAAATAAGAAACGACGACAGATTTAAATTCTCATAGTCTAGCCATTTTAAAACATTCAATTTTCTTTATTGTTCCTTTTAAGATAAAAGTTTCTCCTTCAGCATTTTTCTTATCGAAAGAAATTTCTTTTCTTATTTTTTGAATATCGAAAAAATCGTCTTTCTTAAAAAATGTTTACAGAGAAGTCACCGAAATGATATGATAAAAAAATCGTGAAGGAAAAAAAAACAACTCCACGTTCGTCCATTTATCGGCCACTTTTCGTCGATGTTCGCGATAACCTGCGGCATCGCATTCGACCTCCGGTATCGCGTTCTCGTTCGTCGGCGTAGCCGGCAATCGCGACATTATAAATTGCGACGATCCATTCACCGTGTTAATTTGTCCGCTTTTCAATTAGCGGGAGAGCGAGTTCGGCGATGGCGGCGAATAAATTGAACGATGCTGCTCACGAGAGAGCCTCTCTGTTCGTGACTTTCTAAATTCACCATATGTGTCTTTCTACGTGTGTACGAATATGGGTTTGTATGTATGGGAGTGTTAGCCCCCATACTAGCGGGCGGCGTTGCCATCGCGGTATCCTGGCTGTTTTCACCGACAGGTGGAAGAAACTCCTCGCTTCCTATTTCTTGGATTGCTTCCAAAATTCATTCTGGCGGCGTATCGATGCCTAGAAAACGTTCGATCGCGCCGCGGTATAGGATGCGGGAGAAATATTTCTCGCGTTATTAGTTAAGCTCTTCTGAATTACGATATTTAGCGAATTTTTCCTTCCTTCTGTGTTCAAAGACAGTATTTTTCAAATATTGGACTCTTAGTTTCTTTTCTTGCTTTTGCTTGCTTTTATTTTCTCGTTACAAATAAAAATTAAGATTACACTATTGATTTAGAATTTACAGACTATACACAGTTAGGTTAGAATTTTGTAACTTCGAAAATTTCTTTCGTAAAGTTTTAGGGATGTAAATAAAATTACTATTGATATCTGTAGCTTTGAATTTTATTGTATCTAATCTTGTAAATGGGTCTTTGAATTAGATTGGGAAAAAGAATCATCGTTTCCATTTGATCGATCGTAAAAACGTTCGACCAACAAAGATTCACGGAACATTACGTGCGTTCCCCTGTTTACGTGTTTAACTGTCACGCTACCTGTTGTAAATACTTTAAACCTCTATCTCATGTGTTTTTCGACCGTATATCTTCGGTAGACGAACAATCGTAAAAATTTCAAGACGTTTGACGCGAATCGTGTGTACATCGAGATACGAAGAAACGCGCATCCGTCTTGCGCAGCTCACGACGCACGCTAGAGGTATTACTACGCGAGTCGTTGAACAATACGATACATGTATCTAATCAACCGTACCGAATTGAAATCATTTTGAAGAATTGTGTATAATGGATCGGGCGGCAAGCTTTCGTGCCAGGATTTGATGAATTCGCGGTATTGATACACGCGTGACAGAATAATTTCCATGGAAAAACTTAATATTCTGTCATTCAAAAAGCAACGGCGCGGACGAAGTCAGCTAGGAAAGGGAAAGGCAAGTTGGTGCCGGGCCACCTGCAGGCAACTTGGGAGCGTCACGACGCCGCCGTCGCGGCGAGTTACGGCCACAAATCACGCAATTCGTAATTGCCGCTACCAACTACACGATTTCATGTAAGGGGGAGGGACACACCGGGTTGGCTGCACACGTGTGGATGGAAATCCATAAACATCGATTGCCTCTGCGTTCACGTCGAAGCCTCGAACACTGGCGAAACGCTAAATATTTCCGTATCGTGATCCGTGATTACTATGAAATCGTGGCAAAGTTCTTTGAATTCGCGCCCAGAGTCGATTGACGTTGCCTCAGAGATATGTTCCAATATTTAACATGTATAAGAATAAGGATATAATTATTTCTGTGGATCATCGTTAAACCTAACCTAATTTAACAGTACGTACGCATTTATTTTATATATTTATTATACATCTCTCTTACATTTTATCTCATAATCTCGAACGCAGAATTGAATTAACCAATCATATTTCTTTTTATAATTTTTTTATATTGTAATTTTCAAACGTGCTAATTTAATTTTTATAAAATAAATTTTACAACGATACATAATTTCACGTACAATTTTACCTAATTTCGTTCGATCCAAAGATAAAATATCCTTGAAAAATCGTGTCGTGGAAATTTAATCTTCGTTTCGTTCAAAAATATGAAATATTCTGTTTCTCGCGAAAGCACACGAGGCAAGGCGATTAGGTTTCTAGTTCAACAGCATCGCGCCGTTTGTTACACGTGACCCCGGATGGCGTGGGGTGTGAGAGTGCAACATTGTAACCAACACACTGCAATTTCCGCGGCGATATATTATGCTCGCGTTCCGAGACATTACTTTGGCCTCCGTCGATGTCGGGTAACAGGCTGATCGCAGTCGAGTTTGATTTCTCACCGATCCTCTTGTTGCCTTTTGTGCAACGAAGAAATCGACGTTGATAATAAGCGTGCGTGCGTACCCGCGTTTGCATTACGATTGATTATCCCATCTAATACCCACCGTGATCGATTACCTGTCTCAATAATGACACAGGCGTGCTTCATTTGCATTTCAAAGGATGTAGTTTTCTCGCAAAACTGAAATTGAGATATCTGTAATTGCTTCGAAAGAACCTATTATTTCAAATTCGTGATTAATCATATATGATTCGAGTTATATGGTATATTTAAGTATATATTTATTTTTCGATTCAATCATAAAATTTTCCCTTTTTACCTTTTAATTTAACTATTTGCTTATGAGAGTAAAAATTGCGATTGAATTATAATTTCTCATCTTGGTTTTCAATTTTAATCACAAAGTTTTCGTATTTTATCTTGTAATTCACTTATATAAGGGTAAAAATCGGAATTGAATTGATGATATTGATTTGAAAAGAATTAATTCTTATTCTATCTATAATTCTATTTAAAAAATCGATTATTTTTCGAAAAGAAATTATATATTTAGCGTAATAATATAATTCAATTAAATTATTGCTATAATTTTTTATTCTAATCTAATTTAGAAGAATTTCTATATGAATTTCTTCAGACATTTTTTCAATAAATTTAGTCTATTGAAAATCGAATATGGAAACATTAAAAAATGCTAATAATAGATTATTCGATACCGCTATAATTAAATATTCATGTAAATGGCTCTTGCAAATTATATGCTTATAAATCAGCCTTTTATTTTTAATTTGAAATAATCGTAGAAATGTTAAAAAATGATATATAAACTTGATACCGGTATACTTAATGCATTTTAAATAATAGTCATATGAACGTCATACAAATAATTAAATAAGTAATTAAAGAAATTATAGTATCGCTATTTCTACTATCATCAAATTCTTAAAAAACTTTTTAAATGTTATAAAAAGATATCTACGTAAATACAATAATATATCTACGTAAATACAATTATATATCTACGTAAATACAATTATAGCATCGTTTCGGAACATATTTTCACGATGGCGTCAACGATTGGTCCGCCCTGCGACCAATCGCGAAAGAAATGTCGCGCGGAAAATTTGAATGTTATCTGGCCTAAGAATCGACGCGTCCAACTCCACGTCATCGCGTAGTATATCACGCGCCGCGTCGGAACGTGTTACCATTGTAACACGCTCGTTCCTGGGGCAATACATTATCCAGCATTCGCGTCCGCGGTATATTAGTCGGTATTCCTTTTAACACGACCGCCGTAGCGTCGCTCTCGTTCCAGGCTAAAAGCTTTCTCTGTTCGTAATTACGGATATACGCGAAATCGAAAAACGATTTGAATTCGAGCCGAGGAACGATAATAACCACGAGAGCAGGAAGATTTCTCGAAAACTACTTCTTTTCGAAATGATAGGGGACGAGATTCTCAAGATCTGTGGGATTTGCTTTGCAATCGAAATTGAGCGGATTCTGATTTTGATATTACTGGATTGATATGATTCTTCTGAACAAATAAGAAGATATATTGAAGTATTCTAAGTTGTTTATAATAGTATATTCTTCTTTATTGAATT